TGTTGGCACTTGCAATTTGATGATGATGAAATGTTGACACAAATGTGTTATGTACATTCAAGCAAAATATGTGGCCATTAGTGAAGGAAATTATTTGAGGGAAGAAATTACATTGCACTTGCATAGCTACATTGAGCACATTGTAAAGTAGCAACACTACCAACACTTACGAATTTTGTTTGTATTACCAGTATTGAAATGTTATTCATTGTATCAAATAAAATACATACAAAAAGTGTACACTTGAAGAAAATATGAAATCAATCCTACCGATATGTTTATAATATTGTTTATTTCCTTATTATTATGTATGACTATTCATAATCTTTCCAATCAGCAACTGGAAATAGTAATTTTATCAATTTTTTGTACGAGAGCAAGTATGATGTCGTAATTTTTCTGCTATTATTTTTAAATTATGCTATTTTATTAAATGTTTAATAATTTTTACCAGGTACGGGGTGCGGGAAGCAATGTTTAGGCTCGGTTGTCACATAGTGCAACACCCTGCTGTCGTGCATGCTCTCGTCCCAACTGGCTGACACAAAGGTGAAGCACAAATCAAAGTCGCATACGGCCAGTATATTCTGTGTTGGCATGCCTTTCCGGCCATAGTACGAAGTGGCGTACTCTTGCGAGACACGAGCCATCACATGCGTGCCGTCTAGTGCACCGATGTAGTCCTACGCAACGCACCATTATTCAAAAAGTATAAATACAAAATTCAGGATATATGTCGCCACTGTGATATTTAAAATTTTATGGAAAGTGTCACCTTGAATGGCGGGTATTGCCTTGCAATTGTAAATGTGGGTGGCTCCCTTGTTGCACTTGCTCAGGCGTAAGACTCCTACTATGAACCGATGTGAATGGTATTATAGCTTGCAAAACCTCATGGAAATTGTGTGACGATGTCTCCTTCAAGTGTTGGAACCATTCTTGCAAATCTTTCCAATCCATTCCCTGCAATGCACAAATGAAAATGGCTACCTTCTCTTCCAACGGAACGCCATGCTCCCGCTGTGGCAGTGTCAATCCAAAACTATGAAGCGCGTCGCATAACAACAAGAACACTGGTTTGGACATACTGACAGCATCTTCAAACCGGCCTTGGTGCCCGTTAAACAACTCATACATCCATAAACGTCCCGAAAGTATTAATGTATTTCGAGGGACTTTGTGATAATGGTTGTAATAATATCTAGCTGCACTGTTCCACGCCTCTATCAAGTTGTGATCAGTTTCAACCACCATTTCCCGCGCAATTTCACCGACAGTTTCCCGGGATGTAATACTTTGCACGATGTGACTAGGACCAGCGTCATCCGCCATTTCTAAAAAATGGAATGCAAAATATGCAAAAATAAAATGGGTGCAGTGTACAAATGTAAGCACACAGCTTCTGCAAAAACTATGGAAAAATGAAAGAGTTTAAGGGAGAGGGAGTGTGCGAGGGAACCACACTGTCAATATATGATTATAGAGACATATCCATGATGCAAGGAAAGATGAGCTTTGGTGGTGGTGGGTACACTTTCCTGCATTTGAAGAAGTTCACTTGTTTGTGATAGTTGGGACAAGGACGGAGGGGCCTACGTCTATGATTCCCTCTTTTTTGGTTCATCCAAAAAATTTATTTGTGTTCAGGAAAGTGTATGTTGTGCATCCAAAAAAAAAAGACACCTTGTTTTGGTATAATTTTTTAAAAACAGTGTTCAGAAAATTCTATTTTGTTCCCATGCGTAATTTTTGTGTTATTTATCTTTTGTTCATATTTTATAGTCAAGTTTTTAAATTGATAGACACACGTGACATGAATTTACAAAAACAGTAAGACAGTGTAACGAAAAAATGAAAATTGTATCAAAAATTAACACTAATTGGGAACAAAGTTATGCTTGAAAACAAAGGTTATGCCAAGAAGGAAAATTTTAAACTGCAAAAATAGGAAATCAAAGGAAAGTGCACGTGTGTCATCAACACGACAATGGGTTTCCTAATAAATTTTACAATTTTAACCGTTTCAATAATTTTAAAAAAATAAGTACATATAATAATATTTATTTGTAATGATCATTGAAAAAATCTACAGGACTCCAGTAGTATGGGCAACTCCAGTTTTTCCGTTGTCTTTTTTTTTTTTTTAATCTTTAATGATCTTTTTTCAAAATTATATCAAACTTTTTTTAAATTTTTAGCTCTGTTGCAAAGGTGGAAAATAAAAAAATAATAAAAGATAAAAACGAAAAAAAATCACAACAAAAAATGCTAAACAAAACAGACGAGTTTGGCACACAATATTTTTTTGTTAGCTAAAAATGATAGGTGTTGTGAGTGAGTAGTAGACATTCATATACTTCATGATTTTCTACCTCAATTTTATTTGTGGAGGATTGCTGGTTATAGCCCGAGATTGGACTGTGGAGGACAAATGGTACAGGTTATAAATACAGAAAATATTAAAGTATGGCAATTGGTATTTTGTCTTCTAGTTGGGGGATGGTTTGATGTGTCAAATAAAGTACATGCTAGCCTTAGAGAGATGGATGTAGGTGTAAGGAAGAATTGACAATGTCCTTCCAAACACAAACAATTACCCACCCCCTTCCTACATTTATTTTTCTTCATTCATTTGGTCATTTTTTTTCCCCTTTTTTCTTCTTGTGTTTGTCAATATCAATTCCCTATTTCTTCCCTTTGTGCTTGTACAAATAGAGTTGGGTTAACAAACCGACTATGCAATGCAAGTGTGCATGTGTGTGTTTTCAATTATTAAATAACACCACATATTCTACAATTAACTTGGAAAATGAAACTATGACTACAAGGAGCAGAAATAGAATTGATTTTAGAAGTGTGAAATAGATGGAGAAATTGATGGATCATGAAAAAAACATAAAGTCGGTGCATGCCAAAAATTGATTAAGAAAGAGATTTTTAGGGCTTCTCAGAAATCGATTTGAGAGAGAGGGGGGGTTATTGTTGCAAATGGAGGGATTTTGAGTTTTGGAAGTGGTAGGGGGATTGGAGTTAGGGTGAGGCTTTGGTAGAGGGAAATCATTGAAGTGAAGAGGGCAAAGAGAGAGAGAGAGGTCCATATATACCTGATATCTATCTGGTTGGAGAGAACACCTTCACTTCAACGATGGAAGCCAACAGAGGCTTTAGTCCCGTTGTGGCTGGAACTCAACAGAGGCTACTAGTTATTGCAGGAAATTAAGGATTACAGAGAGATAGTGAGAGCAGCAGAGGAGGAGGACAAGGAGTAAGAGACGAAAAAGACAGAAAGAGAAGCATAATCCTTGTGGGTGTGGGGGAGTGAGAGGAAAATAGGAGGAGAGAGAGTTAACTGGTTGCTCAGGTTTCCCATTTTCTACCATTAAACAATTCAATGGTCTTGATCAATTGTTTGTAATCCAAGGGCAGATAATTGGGTTGCATATGATGTGCAACCTTTAATGGGTTGCCCACCCAAACAGCTCCCATATTTGAGATTTCAATTTCATTATCATTTTTTAAAAATAATTGTCAACTACGTAAAATTAATAACGGCCATTTGAATTTTGGATAAAAAATGATTCTTTCAACCCACTAAGTTCGATCACTAAGTTAACATATACGTCTATGAATATCTGAGGACTATAAATTTAGCAATCTTTCATGACAAATCTCATGGTAATTACAAAAAAAAAAAAAAATGGTGTCCCATTAAAGCCATAGAGTTGAACATACCATAATAATATTTAATAAATAAATAAAATGATCTAAACAATCCCGAGTAACATTACAAAGCAAGTTTGACTTCTTCATTCCAATTACAACCTTCACAACTCATGTTGTCACCCTTTTCTTCTTGGCCTCTCTTTCATGTTTCTCCTACTTTTGGCAGTATTGATTATTGTCTATATGTTGTACTTTGTTCATCTATTTTTATTTTAAGACTTATTTTGGACAATAAGTAACTGTCTGAAATAGGTCTTGGAATAAAGTCAAAAAATCAATAAACTGACTTTTAACCTAATTACCAAAAGATACCTATATTTGATTTCTGTATTTATATAACACAACTTTTATAAATAATCTAAACACTCCTACCCAGTAACATGTTACAGAACAAGTTGACTTCTCTATCCCATTTACAAGTTTCACAGCTCGTGTTGTCATCCTCTTCTTCGCGGCCTCTCCATGTCTCTCTCACTCTGGTGCTTCGAGTTTTTCCATGGCAACAGAAATTTGTTTGTTGGCTGACCATATGATTGTTGATCCACATTGTGTGAATAATGGCTTTGATTCTTTCTCTGCACTCTTGGATTCTCAAGCTCTTTGAATTTGAACAAGTATTGTTCATGGCATTTAGAAGCTTTAGGCCTTGTTTGGTTGATTGCCCACCCCTAGAGAGGAGGATCACACCATACACGTATGAGGCCTCCACGTGTCCTTTCTCTGCTGCTCTCTTCAAATGCTCTAGTCCTGATTCCATTCTCATGTGGCTGAAGTATTCAACCTATAATATTGCAATTGTAGAAATTAAACACAAACGAGATGTTAAAAAAAATATTAGATGATTTTGTTTCAACTGTGAGGTTAACTATACATAATTGAATTTAATATTGTGAATAAATTTATGAACAATCTAATTTTCTAATTTTTCTGTTAAATGTTTATTTTCTTTTCACAACTTAAAATATATAAATTAAAGTTGAACGGTCAATTCAAAATAGACTGACATGACTACTTTCTATTATATAGGGACAGAATCTAATATATTATTTGAATCATTTATCAATATAAAAAATTATTCTACATACTCATAATTTAATCATAAAATACACGATAGCTTGACAGGGCCCACAATATAAAAAATTATTCTACATACTCATAATTTAATCATAAAATACACGATAGCTTGACAGGGCCCATAAGGCCTAAGAAATAGCTTTATTTGTTAGTATCTCACATTTTTTTTCAGTAGAAGTGGACCATTATATATGTTGACCTGTACATATTTTTTTTAAATTTTTTTCTAGTTTAACTTTATATTTGTTATGTTAACTTGTATATGTTTAATATTTTTTTTTTATAATTTAATTATGTACGAGTAGGTTGAGTGGAAGACAAATGGAAACTCAATGATACCACTTTGCAACTTAGGTCCTATGGTCCTGTTTGCTTTTAGGATATAAACAAATGGTTGGATTGGATATCATATATTTTGGGCGGTCACATATCTTTTATTTGTAATTTTCTTTTTATAAAGAGTATATAATATAACATGAGATTGTATATCTCTAAATTGGTAGATATATAATATCACCCTCCTTTTGTTATATCATATCCTATAGGATGGGATAAGAGTTAAAAAGTCAAATTTATCCTTCTTATCTACTTACCCTTCTAAACCCTTTCCATTGTTTATGTTAAGTCTTTGATTTCATTTCTTTATATTTTTTTTATAAATTCTTTTTGTTATATCCAAATAATCCTTCCATTTCAATGCTTTTTGTTTTATATGTTGCTGATCTGGAAATCAATGAAGCCTCTATAAATAAACAAAAATGATTTATTTATTATTTTTTCTTGAATAATGATAAATCTGATATGATTGTATGTATATGATAAAAAAATTATTTCTCAGAGTTTTTTACTTTTTCATTTTTATAGTTGGTTGATGTTGTAGATGAATGGTTTGAGACATTTGTTTGTTTAGGTGAAGAGTTTGAATTTCTTTCTTTTAGAGTTTGAATTTCTTTTTTTTTCTTTTTATTTACATAAACCAAATATATATATATACAAAATAAGACTCTTCACCTAAACAAATATGATTGTTTACAAAAAGCTGTTGTTTTTAGAATCAAAATACTTATTTAAAATGGGTTATTTTATTTTATTTTTATTATCAGATTAGCGTTAATATAATATAATTTTTTTCAGGGGAAGAAATTGTTGGATTTAATATGAATATTTGATTTGTATATATTAGCATTAGTTATGAAGTGTATTCTTTCCAAATTTGTGGCAGTGGCCATTGATGGGCATAAGGGCAAGATGGATATTAACATAATGTTATGAGAGCAATCTTGGAAATTCTTTGAATCCTACAATCCATTTTGTAAAACAAACACAGATGAGATATATCCAGTGTTATATATCAAGTTAACAAACATAAATGATAGGATATATTATTCAGTAACTATATCTTATTCATTATATATCTTGATTAAATCTCACAAAATATTATATCTCTTATTTTATATTCATTGAAACAAAGAAGGCGTACATGTATGTGTACTTAAGAAAGACAAGTATATGTTGTTTTGTCCCCATGTAGCTTTCCATTGAAGTATAACATATCCAAAACATTTGTAAGAGATACATATTTAAGCAACCAAATTATGTAATGACTTGTGGCATGAAATATCCTAGAACCAAAAAGAAAAAGAAAAAAAACTCAATGCTTGAGTGAAAGATTCACGCAAAGATTAGTCAACAATGACAACTATATATATATATATATATATTGGAAGTTTTGTCACATTTTTTTTTTTATGTAATATTATTAACTCTTTCAATAAATAATTGTTCATAGTTTTTAATCAAGAGTTATCATAGATATGCTCTGATACTAATTGAATGGAAATTGAGGGGCTCACCATTACATAGCAACACCGGTCTAATTCTTTGAAGAAAAACTTTAAAACCACAAGCATAACATTATGAGCCAACAAATATTGTTTGAAATTCATACTAATTTAAAATTTTTTATTTGATCGAGTAGGACTCTTTCTTCACATATACTCTAATAATCAAATTATCAATTTTTTTTCCCCACTAAAACTATGTTTAGTTTATGAATTTGATGAAAGAAATGAAAAATATAAATAAAATATAAATACATTTTACATAATTTATTTATTTATTTTTTTAAATTCCTTCTCAAATTCATAAAATAAAGATAGCCTAACCTACCATATAATGTTGGAGGTGATCATGGAATGGAATCACATGGCAATCACGTGTAAGTTAGACTAGAACAGTTTGGGGGGTCATGAATGAAACAGAGAGAAACAAAGTCATGATGAGGAGCAAAAGCATTAATTCTAAGGTAAGCAACCTAATAATATACAGTGGTGTTACATATACTAATTAGTATATTAATTAATGTATTAATATATATTATTTTATTATTATTTTAAAATTATGATCTCACTCATTATATAAATTATAAATACCTAAAACGTTTAAAATTATATTACGTCATTTATTAATATATTAATTGATATATCAATTGATACATAATATAACATGAAAACATGTGAGAAGAGAAGAGTGGGTTAGGAAAGAGTACCATTCCTTGTCTGTACAATGTATTATTTTATTATTATTTTAAAATTATGATCTCACTCATTATATAAATTATAAATACCTAAAATTTCTAAAATTATATCACGTCATTTATTAATATATTAATTGATATATCTATTGATACATAATATAACATGAAAACATGTGAGAAGAGAAGAGTGGGTTAGGAAAGAGTACCATTCCTTGTCTGTACAATGCTTCTGGGTTTCCACTTTGTATGCACCGATTTAAGAACAAACTCACTTCTTCACGTTTCAGCCATTGATGAATTACTGGGAATTTTTCTATTGACACGTGTTGTAGTATGTACTTCTCCTCTGCTACTCCCAGAAATTCTCTACAACTGTCATTACATTACTTAGTTAAATACGGGTTAGAACCAAGATAATGAAATAGATATCACATATAACTATATGATTAGTAAGTGAAAAACAAAGAATGTACCCAATCTCACTAGGCATTTTCTAGGTGACCTTTTAGTTTTTTATAAATAAAAAAAAAAATGTGTAAAAAAATAGATAAAATAATTTTTTGACAAAAATATTTTGTTCCCAATAATTGCATAATTTATGGTTCATATTCAACACATGTGCAATGAGACTTACACTATGAATAGTTTTAAACCACACATTATTAATTTTCTTGATTTTTTTTATTTTTTATTTTTTTGTTATGAATTCTTGGTTTTAACACTATTCTCCATATTTATCGTCATTAGTTGTGAGCAATTTTTGCATGCATTGAAAATATTGTCATGAGCTTTTCTCATTGACTTAAGACAGTAAAATTTTTATTATATTTGTCTCGATATTTTTAAGATAAAATCATGTATTTATGATTGGTGAAAAATACAACATTTGCCAACTTGCAATAATTTTTTCATTTTTTTGATCAATATTTATTCATTGTATGTGAGACTAATTATCATCGTACTAGAGATTAACAATTTAGACAAAGGAAAATATTTATAAAAAAAAAAAAAAAATAGTATGTCTTCAAGATTCACAACTTTTAAATAGCAAGTTTTACATTTAAATCACATATTTTTCTTATATTTTTCTCCATTTTCTTAAATCTTTAACTTTCAAGAATTTATAAAATTAAACGTTTATTAAATAGTCTACCCTTTGAAGTCACACAAAAACGTCAGAAACAACACAGTTGAATATAAAATTGATGACATATTAAACTTACAAAATATCATCATTCACCCATATATTAATTTCGGAAACCGTTATTTGGAAAGAGGAGGAGGAGGAAGAAGAAGAAGAAAGACTAACCATAGTTTGGAATTGAAGAGGTCGGTGAAGGAAGAGGAGGCAACCAGAGCTAGAACTTCAACCAACAACTCCACCGGCAGAGATTCGATCCCACCTCCTCCGACGCCGATGACGATCTTTTCTTGTTTTTCTTCTTCAATTGATGATGATGATGGAATAGTAAACATGGTTTCTAGCTTTCTTTCTTTCTTTCCAAACAATTAAAAGTCAAACTCGTATAAAGTAATCAAATTTAGAAGGTGGGGATTGAAGGATTGATGGTTGTTGATAAAAAAAAACAGAGGTGAATGAAAAACCTCCAATCTCAACCGCTCAAAAGTAGCAGAGACAACGCTTTACCATCTCTATATATATATGTAAAATAGAGGTTGAGTGAGAATAGCTTTCAAGTATGTATGGCGGCTTTGGAAATCCAAACACGAGTTGGAAAGGGAAACAGAGTACTTTACAACTTGCTAATCAACCAATTAATTAATAGTAGGAGGATCTCCTCTACTCTGTTTGGGTAATGAGGTTTATTACTAGTACTGTTTTAATAATTTAAATATTTTATTTTGTCTTACCCTTTATATATTGTATTTATAAAAAAATTAAGTTAATTTAATAGTTGTAACTTGTTAATGTATTACTTTTTTAACCAAAAAAATTTATGACTTATTTTTAAAAGTATAAATTTTTTTGATTAAAAATGCAATAAATTGAATAAATTACCGTTATCAGATCGATCTAATTTTTTTTGTGTGTTCGACAAAATGAACAGTTTAAATCATCAAAACGATACTCATGGTGAGTCTTATGAGTCCAAATAGTGCCATCTAATCCAAAATCTAGATTGGAGGAGATCTCTTCCTAATTAATACTACTTGTTATTTTCATACTCTTGTAAAAAAAATATATAAAAAATAAAAATATTTATAAAAAAAGAGTAAATTATAAATATTTGAGATTTACTTAAAATACATTTTGGTTCATATGATTTAAAAAATTACAAATATCTCATTATTAGAATTTTTTATTTAACAGAATTAACTCAAAAAATAAAATTCTTAACTCTATCCTATACAATAATAAAATTACCTGAATTATTAATTGAAATAAATTTTTGAAATCATTAAAAATTATTAATTAACTTGATGATTTATTAATTAAAGAGTTATTTGTTATAAAATTAGAAACTCCAAGATAAATATATAATTTCTAAAACTATAGGAGGCAATTTATATTAAATTTTATACTTATAATCAGTATTAGAGGCTCGGATGGGCCAGTTTCTGGTATTTTCTATGAACCCTGAATAATTTATCAATTTTTTAATAAACCTCTTATATGAGTGTGAGACTCATATAAATTCATATGTACATAAATCTTACACTCATATAAAAAATTTAATAAATTATTTAAAATCCCTAACCAAACTCAAATTCATGTGATGAAACGGAAAAGGAAACAAAACAGTTACTAGGACCATCAAGTTCTTATAACCGACATAGTTTGACCGGTAATTATTTACAAGGGAACTTTTTCCTTGGAAGCTGTCTTTGTCGATTTAAATATGAATTTAGAAAGTTATAAAAAACAAAATATAAAATAAAAAAAAATTAAAAAAAAGTGAGGAAAATTTAAATAAAATATATATATATTACTTCCTTCTCTTTTTTAAATTTTTATTTAAATTCATAACTTAAACAAAGTATTTAATTCATCGGTTTTGGATTCACTTGTATTCTGAATCGTTTATTTTTAGTGTTTACAGATAAATTATGAGTGAAAAAATAAATTGACTTGATATCTATAACTATGTAATTAAGTCACATTTTGTTTTAAAATACTAAATACTAGTGTCTATTTTCTTATTTAATTATATCACGATCAATGTTTGATCAACTTAAATTTTATATGAATAAAAAAATATTAAAAAATTAAACAATTGATATTATCAATATAAATTTAGAGTGGGTTCACAAACCATGAACTGAACTCTTTAGTTCAGAGTTCAATAGTCAAGGAAAACTGATTCCAATTATTTAGTAGTGTCATAATATCATATATATTGATTATATGATATAACCGTTCAAAGTTGAAAATTTTACTGATGAGACTATATCAACATAATTTTGTTGTTCAACTCACTTTTAGAAAATTGAATTTTTTTAATATTTTATTTAAATTTTTTTTATTTTTTAAATACCCTTTAAAAGTACAATATTTATGAGAGGAAAAAAAAAAAACTTCAAAAAATTTATCATAAACAAAAAATTAAAAAAAAATATTTTTAAAAACTCTAAACCAAGCCAAGTGAATAATTTTCGTAATGTATTTTAAGATTTTTCATTTGTTTAAAACACAAGACGACATAAGCACCATCCAACAATTTACCTAGTTTTTTGCATAGGAATATGGGATGTGAGGTCTCATGATCCAAACACAGATGTATCATCAATCTCTAAAATTGGGCCATTAGATGAATTTCATAACTAATTTAGAACCCACCAAACCCAGTTTTAGGCCTTTTTAGTATAATGGGTAGAATAATCATATATCTAAGGAGGGCTAATTAAAAGACATCATATAGGTATAGATAGAATTTTTTTTTTTTTTTAGTTTTTAAAAAGTTGTGTTTGGATTAAAGCCCCTCTGGAATTTAATTTTTTTTTATTAGAATAGTTAAAAAGTCTCAGAAAAAAATTAAACATGCCAATAATTTATGACTTTCAATACAACTAAAAAACTTCAATATCAAACACAATAATTGTTTTCCATCTCATAAAAAAATTAAGAAGCTAAAAAAAAACTACTAAAAAAAATTAATTTCAATATGAGGCTTAAAGATTTGAGTCAAACTTGTGAAAATGAAAAAAAACGGAAGAAGAAGAAATCTTCTATTCCTTACATTCCCCCGCCCCACCCAAAACAAACTACTTCTCAAATCCTTAATCAAACCCCTACAAATTACTTCTCAAATCCTTATTCAAAACACAATTTAAAGAATCCTTAATCAAAACCCAATTTAAAGAAAAGACAAAATAAAATAAGAGGAATTTACGTGTAAGTCCTACTGAGTGAACTTATTATTCAATAGGTTAATTAATGGTATTTTTATCATACACTATTACAAAATGTCATTAATTGTTAAAGTTTTAGCAACAGTTTAAAAAAATCATTACAAAAAAGTTGCTAATTTTCAACTTTCAACGACAATTTAAAAAATTCGTCACAAAAAAGTCACAAATTGTAAGTTTTAACGACAATTTATAAAAATCGTGACAAAAAAAAGTTAGTAATTGTTAATTTTTAGCGACATATATAAAAATATGTCACAAAAATTATTTTTAACGACGATTATGTTAAGACTTATTTTCAATAAAATTTGATGAAAATTAAGTCAAACTATTAAGTATAAATTTTTTTTTGATTAAAAACACGATAAATTGAATAAGTTATAGTTATCGAATTGTTCTAATTTTTTGTGTGTTTGACAAAATGAATAATTCAAATCATCGAAACGATGCTCATGGTGGGACTTACGGGTCCAAACAGTGCCGTCTAATCCAAAATCTGAACTGAAGGAGATCCTCTTCCCAATTAATATTACTTGATATTTTTGTACTCTTGTGAAAAATATGTATAAGATAAAAATATTTATAAAAAATAAATTATAAATACTTGAGATTTACTTAAAATACATATTTTGCTTCATATGATTTAGAAAATTAAAAATATCTCATCGTTAGAATTTTTTATTTAATAGAATTAATTCAAAAAATAAAATTATTAACTCTCTCTTATACAATAATCACTATAAGAAAATACATTTTCGGCGACCAGTTTTGGCTACCAAAACAAATTTAGTCGCCGAAAGTGTGGGAATTGGCTACCAAAATTAATTTTAGTCGGGAAAAGTCAACTTTTTAGCTACTAATTTTTCTTAGTAGGGGAATGCTGATTATTGGCGACTAAAATAAATTTGGTAGCTAAAAATACTACAATTGGCCACTAAAAAAATTTTTAGTAGCTAAACATATCTCCATTAGCGACTAATTATACTTTTAGTAGCTGTAAACGCACCTTTACCCACTAAATTGTTTGGTAGCCAAAGGGGAAGAGAAAATTTTGTTTTTGATCTTCGGCGACCAAAAGTTTGGTCGCCAAAACTATCTTTTCAGCGACAAAATCCATTTTAGTCGCTGTAGACGCACCTTTGCCTACTAAATTTTTTGGTAGCCGAAGGGAAATAAAAAATTTTATTTTGATCTTTGGCGACCAAACTTTTGGTCGCCAAAACTATCTTTTCAGCGACAAAATCCATTTTAGTCGCTGTAGACGCACCTTTGCCTACTAAATTTTTTGGTAGCCGAAGGGAAATAAAAAATTTTATTTTGATCTTTGGCGACCAAACTTTTGGTCGCCAAAACTATCTTTTCAGCGACAAAATCCATTTTAGTCGCTGTAGACCTACTTTTGCCTACTAAATTGTCTGGTAGCCGAAGGGAAATAAAAAAAATTATTTTTGACATTTTCAAAAAAATTATTAAACAAAATAGTTATTTTATTTTTATTTTTATGCAAAGGTTGTCAAATCTTAACAACAATGACATTTTATCCATGGAATTTGACTTTTTTTTTTTAAATGAGAACAATAAAATTGAAAGAAACTTCTTTTTTAAAAATAAAAATGAAAATGAAACATGCTTATTAAGTAAATAAAAATGAATTCCCATTAGTAGTAGGTATATGAATAAAACAATCAAAAGAGTGAGAAATGACAAGTGGTGGCAAGTGGCGACAGAAGACGGTGGTGGAAAGTGGTGACGGTGGGTGTTGGGGGGTGGTGGGTAGGTGGGTGACGGTGGCGGGTGGTAGGTGGTAGCGAATGGGTGGTGGTGGATGGTGGGTGGTGGGTGGCGGGTGGGTGGTCGGTGATGGTAGTGGTGGTGGTGGTGGTGGTGGGTGGTAGGTAGAGGTGGTTGGTGGTGGCAGGTGGTGGATGGTGGTGGTTAGGGGTGCAACTCGGGCGGGCTCAACCCGAGCAACCCGAGCCCAGCCCGAGTTTTTTTAGGGCTTGGGCAACTATATCTTGTAATCTGGACGGGCTTGGGCAGATTTTTGATGCCCGAATTGCAATTCGAGCCGGGCTTGGGCAGAACCAATGGCCAACCCGAGCAACCCGAACTCGAATTCAATTTAATATATTATATAAATTATATAATATATAATATATAATTTAATAAATTATGTAATATATATAAATTAAGTAAAAGAGTTAGTCTTAATTTTTATTTATTTTTTTTTTTTGGTTAGTCTTCTATTAAGTAAAAGAGTTAGTCTTAATTTTTATTTTTTTAATTTTTTTGGTTAGTTTTCTACCATTAGATTAGCATCTTTTATGTCTACCGTTAGATCTACCTACAGGTTTCTGAACTCGGGCAATTCGGGCAATTCGGGCAACCCGAGTTCA